ATCAGTTCCAAAATTGATTGTATGACATGGATTTATTGTTGTCTTGAGGTTTTAATTTAAAAATCAGTGGTTGCAAACATCGATAGAGCTCTCTAACACCAGTTTGACTTGAGTAATCAAAATAAAGTTGGGTAAGACTTAATAGTGAGGACTTGTTGAAATTACTCTATGGATTTGAACATTGGATGGGATCATCCGACTAATTTCTTATTTAATGATATGAGCTAGAGATAGTCTATCTATTCAAGCATTGCTTGGTGTTTTATTTGAAAGGGGCTTGGCGTTTTAAAGAATCCAAGGGACATATGTTTGATAGTTCGAGAGAATATGGAATGTATCCCAGACCAAATTTTATCCATGTATCAATCGGTATTGTTGCGATTAATCTTTTCCTATTGAGTTGAAACCCCAATCATTGTGTTTCTGCAAATACTAATCCTTATTAAAAGAGTACATAAATATATTTAATAAAATTCATATATATATATTATGTCACATGAGACTCTAACAAAAGAGTATGAAAGATTAAAAAAAAAACAAATTATTTACAACAATTTGGACAATATTAAACTGATGAAACAATGGGTATTTAAAATTGAAACTAAAAGAATGTGTGGATTGGTTTTAATTTTGAATTCTCTAGTTCAAGTTGAAGTATAATAATGAAAGTTAAGAATGGAAAAAAGATTATAGGTGAAATAATGAGGGTAAATGAAATATATTAAAGTTTAATATAAAATTAAATATTTAAAATCAAGCAAGTAAGTAATAATATGATGTATGGTCAAAATCTCCATAGAAGTGATAACATTTATGAAAAATAAGGCATGATATAATATTTACATGTTTGTGTGGCAATGAATCATCTTATTAGAGGTAAAATGAGGAACCTGTATTAAATTATCCCTAAATATAATTTTTTGTTTAGATAGACCAAATACACCATATTAATAGAAAAAAAAAGTATATGTCTAGCCTCATTGTGATACAAAACAATACAAAACACAGAAAAGCACCAAAAAAATATAACATTTATGCTTCTTTAATTCTAATCTTTGTTGTATCTTATTAAGAATCAAAGAAAAAGAGTTTGTTTTTTTGGTTTATCATTCGTGTCCGGTATTTACATTGAATCAAGAAAAATCCACATTAGAGGATAAAGCATTCCCGAACAAAAACAATTTCGTATCATGGGACTCGAATCTGATCATCTGATTAAGAATAAAAGAGTCACTACTAATGTTATTGATATCTATTAATAAATTTTAGAGCAAACATCTTATATGTAAAAAGATTGATAAATCGTCAAATTTCAAAAATTCTAATGAAGGTGAATCTTTATTTAGATGATTGTCTTTTTTTGAATAAACAAAGGATCTTTGTAGATAGTGAGCTGAAGAAGCAAGGATTTTATTTGACTTTCTTGGGCAATTTAAATCAAGGATTTTATTTGATTTTCTTCTCCAATTTAACGTTTCATTTATACATCTATTTGGTAATTTCTCTTCCCTAATATCTATTGGGCCATGCCTAGTGTGTGAGAGAAGATTTTAGGTGTGTTTTGTATGGAAAATATTTTCCTGGAAAACAAGTAGATTTTTTACTTATCTTTTCATGTTTGGTTGGTGAGTAGAAAATATTTTCGGAAAAAGATTTTTTAGTATTTGATTTATGAATGAAAAATGGTTTTGACAAAATATCTTTTATTTTTACTAGAAAGTAAAAAATATTTTTTGGAATTCAAAATATTTTTTAAAACAAACAAATTTTTATTGGGGGGTGGGGTCTGGTAAGGGAGCTAGCCGGGGAGGGGGGTCGAGGGTAGGGGTGAAAAAATAAAATTTTGAAGTTGAAAATAATTTTAAAAAATAAACTCAATTTTTTTTTGTGTGGGGGGGGGGGGGGGTAGGGGGAGTGTGGGGGTGGGGGTCGAGGGTAGGGATGAAAAAAATAAAATTCTAAAGTTGAAAATATTTTTTAAAAACAAACTAAAATTTTTTTTGGGCTGGGGGGAGGGGTGATGAGTCCGAGATTTGAACTCATTTAAGGCTTTGTTTATATAGGTTTAGTGTACTCAAATGCTAAGCTTGTGCCATGAACTGATGAAAAATCCTTTATTTTCAGGTACATGGGTTGAGGAACAAAGCCAGGACATTAATGGGCAAAAAGGACAACAGAGGCTGAAAAAGAGAGAAAAACAAGCCTGATGATCGCCAAGAGAACTTGGCGAATCGCCAAGTCACTCCTGGATCGCCTAAATTTGCAGAACACTGAGCCTAAAATAGGAAGAACTTAGGCGAACTGCATTCCCTATCGGTGATTGGCCGACTGCATCGGCGAAGGAAGACCATGTCGCCGAAAGTACTGATTGAGATCAAAATGAATTCAGATTGGCGAGCTACAAGACTAAAGAGCGCATCGCAGAAAGGAACGGTGATCCCGATCTGGATCGCCTAAAATTACAGTGTTTGAACGATGAAAATGTGAAGAAAGAAGACGAGAGGAAAGGACGATCGGTGAGTCGCTGAATGATTGGTGAAGCCCGACATTCCTCTCCGATTGGCCCCAAAAAGCCACACCTCAGATTAGTATAAATTGATTTTTAGAAGAGAAAGAAATCATTCAGAAATTGTGTGGAACAAAAGAAAGAGAGCAAAAAAACTGCTATCGCTGATTTTGAGTAATTTTAGGAAGATTTCAATTAGGTATTGTAAAAGAACATATATTATTCATCTTAGAATTCCAATTTTCAAATACCTAGTCATGGAGTTTGTGGTAGGTATTGAATTTGTTTCTTTTACAATGATTGGCTAAAACCCCGATGTTAGGGGTTTGACAATGTAACCAATTATTGTGTTTGATCTAATGAGTGTTAGTCAATATTGATTTTTGGTGTTAATTTGATATGGGTCTGAGTTATTACTCTAGTTTAACTCCTATATTGTATGTTTATTGCAATATACCTCAGGATTTTATGCTTGCTTGAGAGAGAAATGTAGAGCTAAGTTAGTAACTTTATTTCCATAGCTAGTGGGTCTTGACGGTTTCAGCTTGAGAAAGTGAAACTCAAGATTCATCCTTTGTATCTAGCTTGAGAGAGTAGATTTGATGAGATTGTGGGCTGGTCTTCTTATGGAATGCCTTGAGGTTCGAAAAAACACAGTGGAAATAAGGTAATTGTTCGAGAGAAAAGTTCCTTATCTAAAGTCCATCCTGCCCATGACGAATTAACATTGTTGGTTAGTGATTTGCACCCGTTGAGTTGAACTTTGCAGTTGGTTAGTCAATCTGCCAAGCATTGTCTCCTCATTTGATTGTTTCTTGTTGATTGTTGAAGTGGTTTTGTAGTCTAAAAATTGCTCGCGCGGACTAGTGACTATGTCTTCAATTTTTGTTCATAGTTTCCTAAAATTTTTGTTCCTTCAGCTGCAAAAGTCACCTCCATAACTTCACTTTTGAATTCAAAATAAAAGTACTCTCTGTGGGATCGACTCCAACTCTTTTTTTGGGTTTTACTGCTTAACGACCGTCTACACCTAGTATCAGATGAGGTGTGGTTGACACGTTAATCAAAATGGCGCCGCTGCCGGGGAGTAGCATTGTTTAGAATTCTTTCGTCGAAGTTAATTTGTGAATTTGTTGGCTATAGTTAAATTGATTCAGGTTGTATTGTGCTTGTGTTGGTTGTGTTGAGTAGAAGAGGCAATGAGTGAGGAAGAAATGAACAGGAGCTAAGCGGGTCACCGAGATAGTATCGATGATATTAATAGTGTGTACAACCCAACCCAATTGGGTGGAATTGGTTAAATCTACCTACCATCAACCAAAGAGAATGCTATATTTGAGGTCACGAGCACAACTCTTCATCTCTTCCAAATGAAGGGACTCCATGGAGGGTTGACTCTTGAAGACCCACATAAGCATATGGGAAATTTTATAGATGTTTGCAGCCCGTTTTCATTCAAGAATGTGTCGCAAGAGTTAATCCAGCTCAGGTTATTTCCACTATATCTAACGGGGGAAGCTTGCAAATGGTTGGTTGAGTTACCAAAGAATTCTATCACATAGTGGGAAGAGCTTACCACAACATTCAATGCGAGGTTCTTTCCCCCATCGAGGATGATTAAACTCAGAGATAACATTCAAGGTTTCAAGTGATTGGAGGGTGAAACCATCCATGAAACATGGCTGAGGTTTAAGAAACTCCTACTTCAATGCCCGAATCACGGACTACCAAACAATTTGCTGCTCCAATACTTCTACTAGAGTCTTGATTCGATAAATAAAGGAGTAGCTGATCAATTGGTCCGATGAGGAATAATGTTGCAATTGTTTGAGGTGGCTTCATTTCTTCTTGGTGACATGACGAAAATAAATCAAGTTTGGTACACTCAAGAAGATCAAGTTTCACCTTTTTACTTTAGAATGACTCAAGAGCAACTTGATAAGGAAAGAGAAAGGGATGAGAACATCAAGAAGATGATAGCTCAAATGGAACTACTACAAGCGCATGTGTTAGAAAGTGTGAAAATGCCCCAAGGAGTAAGAGGAGTATTTAGAGTTGAGGAGGGTTCTTCTTCGAGCTATTCAAGTCCGTGGGAGAATCAAGGTGGGAATTATAATAGATATGAGGAGGGTTTCCACCCACATTATTTACAGCGGGGTGGGAACCAAGGTTGGAACTCTCACAAAGAAGAAGAGCAAATAAGATACTATCAAGAATGGGCTGAGCAAAGTGCTTCTTGGAAAATAGAGGATGATTATGAAGAAGAACACACTCAATTGAGTGAGAGCCCAAAGTCAAAGGGTAGTGCAAGTAGTCCCCGAGCGGACAATCTATTGTCGCGTATCCTTGACAAAGTTGAGGGTTCGGATGATTTGCTAAAAGGGATGAAAGCCGATTTCTCGTCTTTAAACAATAGAGTAAATTCTCATGCTGATGCAATCAAGTATTTGAAGGTCAGTTGAGTCTACTTTCCACACAATTGAAACCAAAGATAATGGGAGACAACAACACTACATACATCGTAGATTTGGGGGAAAATGGTGATAGAGACCTGGTTGTGGTTACACGTAGTGGGAAGTTAGCGGTAGATGATTTGAAGGGAAATGATGAGGCACAAGCTCATGAAGAAGATAAAGGTATTGAGGAAGAAGAGACACCCATCCAACAAAGCCCTCCAATACCAAAAATGGTGAAACCTCTTCCCAAAATAACTCCTCCGTTTCCCCAATGTCTTAAGAAGAAAAATGAGGATAAGAATTTCAAGAAATGTTTATTGGTGTTTAAGACATTATTGATTATTCTCCCTCTAGTGAAGGCATTGTTGGAGATGTCGGTTTATGCCAAGTTTATGAAAGAGTTAGTCACAATGAAAAGAAGCTTGGACTTTGAAACAATTGAAGTCTCTCATAGTTTTAGCGTAATTACGACTAATGAGATGATAAAAACAAGGAGGATCCCGGAGCCTTCCTTATGTGATTTGGGAGCAAGTATAAACCTAATGTCAAATGCAATCTATAAGCAACTTGGATTGGGTGAACCAAAGTCCACAACAATGAGGCTTTTGATGGCAGATCGATCTATCAAGCACCCCATGGGAATAATCTAGGATATCTTGGTAAAGGTTGATCGATTCATCTTTCCGGCTGATTTTGTCATCCTTGATTGCGAGATTGATGCTGAAATTCCCATTATTTTGTGAAGGCCTTTCCTAGCAACCGGGAGAGCGTTAGTGGATGTTGAAAGTCGAAAGTTAAAGTTCCGGGGGAATGAAGATGAAGTAACCTTTAATGTGTGTAAATCTATGAAACACCCCAGTGATATTCATGTGGTTTCGACTATTGATGTAATTGTTGAAGGCGTGGCTAGTGTTAGCCATTTAAATATGCATGAGTGAGCCACTTGCAACGGTACCTGCAAACTATGATGAGTTGGAAGTCCAAGGTTATGATGAGGTAGTAGCTGCCCTTTTAGGTTTGGGGGGAATATTCAAAGACTCCATTAAAGCTGGATATTGATCTGAAAAATTGGGAAACTCCTCCCGCAAAGCCATCAATGGAGGAACCACCAAAGCTTGAGTTCAAAGTGCTCCCCTCCCATCTTCGATATGCATTCTTGGGGGTAAATAACACCTTACCCGTAATTATTGATGCCGACCTGCTTTAATGGCAAGTGAAGTTACTCCTTGAACTAATGAGAAGATACATCAAAGCCATTGGATGAACGATCGCTGACATTGTGGGAATTTCACCCGGCATTTGCACTCACAAAATTTAGCTTGATAGCGAATGTAAGCCGAGTGTTGAGCATCAAAGGCTATTTAACCTACTGATGCAAGAGGTGGTTAAAAAGGAGATAATAAAGTGGTTGGATGCAGATGTGATTTATCCTATTGCAGATAGTAAGTGGGTGAGTCCGGTCCAATGTGTACCAAAAAGGGAGGCATCACAGTAGTTCTAAATGAAAAGGGAGAGCTAGTTTCTACAATACCAGTGATCGGATGGCGAGTATGCATGGATTACAAGAAATTGAACTCGTGGATTGAAAAATATCACTTTCACATGCCCTTTATAGATCAAATGCTTGATTGCCTTTTAGAAAGATGATGGTATTGCTTCTTGGATTGGTACTCCAAATATAATCAAATCTCTATTGCTCTGGAAGACCAAGAGAAAACCATCTTCACTTGCCCGTATGGAACTTTAGCCTTCAAAAGAATGTCGTTTGGATTGTGTAATGTTCCAGCAACATTCCAGCAGTTTATGCTATCGTTTTTTGCTGACATAGTAGAAGATTCAATGGAAGTCTTCATGGATGATTTCTTAGTTGTGGGTGACACTTTTGAAGCGTGTTTGGCACACTTAGGGAAGGTTCTTCAGAGACGTGTTGAGACAAATTTGGTCCTATATTGGGAGAAATGCCACTTCATGGTTCGGGAAGGTATTGTCCTTGGTCACAAAGTGTCGCAACAAGGGCTAGAAGTTGATAAAGCAAAAATCGAAGTCATTGAGAAGTTACCACCACCAATCTCAGTGAAGGGCATTCAGAGTTTCTTGGGGCATTCAGAGTTTCTTGGGGAATACTGGTTTTTTACCGGAGGTTTATCAAAGACTTTTCAAAAATTGCATACCCTTTGTTCAAGCTTTTGGAAAAAGAAATAAAATTCAATTTTGATGATGCTTGTATGATGGCTTTTTAAGTGTTTGAAAGAGAAATTGATTTCCACTCCGGTCATCATTAGTCCTGATTGGTCAGCACCTTTCAAAGTGATGTATGATGCAATTGGTATAGCACTAGGTGTGGTACTGGGACAAAAATGCAATAAGGTATTCCATCCCATTTACTATGCAAGCAAAATTCTAAATGGTGCTTAGCGCGACTATATAGTTACGGAGCAAGAATTACTTGCGGTGGTGTATGCATTTGAGAAATTTTGCTCATACTTGCTAGGTACCAAAGTAGTTATTCATACAGACCACGCGGCTCTTCAGTATTTTATGGCAAAGAAAGATGCCAAGCCAAGATTAATAAGGTGGTGCTGTTGTTGCAAGAATTTGACTTTGAAGTTAAAGACAAAATAAGTGGTAAAAACCAGGTGGCTAACCACCTATCAAGGTTAGAAGGCAAGGAGAATAATGAGCCTGAGGTAGACATAAATGATGCCTTTCCCAATGAAAAGGTATTCACAATAACTATTCTACAAACTCCTTGGTGTGCTAATTTTGCTACGTATGTGGTGTGTGGATTAATGCCGGAAGAACTAAACTTCTACCAACAAAAGAGGTTTTTGTTCGACGTCAAGAAATACTTTTGGGATGAACCATACTTATTCAGAGAGTGTGGATACCATATCATTAGAAGATGTGTGCCGGAGGAGGAAGTCAACGAAATTCTACATGCTTGCCATGCTTCACCGATTGGTGGTCATCATGGTGGGGTACGTACAACTGCTAAAGTTCTTCAAAGTGGTTACTACTGGCCATCCCTTTACAAAGATGCTTGTGAGTTTTTTAAGAAGTGCACTCAATGTCAAAAAACAAGGTGAAGTGTCCAGAAGACATGAGCTGCCTCTCATGCCTATTCTGGAGGTTGAGTCATTTGATGTTTGGGGAATAGATTTCAAGGGTCTATTGTGCGCTCGTTTCGTAATAAGTACATTTTGGTGGTAGTAGATTATATTTCTAAATGGGTAGAAGTTGTCGCACTACCAAACAATAAAGGGAGAAGTGTTGTTCAGTTCCTAAAACCGTACATCTTTGCCAGGTTTGGTACCTTTTGGGATATTATTAGTGATGGGGGGTCCCATTTTTGCAACAGGCTTTTTGCGTCTGCATTGAGCAAATATGGGGTGAGACATAAAGTAACAACTCGTATCATCCTCAAATGAGTGGCCAAGTGGAAGTTTCGAATCGGGATCAAGAGTATCTTGGCCAAGGCAGTAAATGCAAATAGGACTGATTGGTCTCGAAAGCTAGCTGATGCTCTGTGGGAATATTGCATCGCCTACAAAACACCAATCGGTATGTCTCCGTATCAGCTAGTCTTCGGGCAATCTTGCCATTTACTAGTCGAATTGGAACACAAAGCATTATGCGCATTAAAGGCTCTAAATCTAGACTGGGAAAATACTTCAAAAGTAAGAGTAGACCAGCTCTATAAATTGGATGAATTCAGGTTCAGGGGGCTTATGAAAGTTCAACTATCTACAAAGAAAAGATGAAGAAGTGGCATGATTCTAGAATCCTTAAGAGGGAGTTCCGAGTTGGAGATTGGGTGTTACTATATAATTCTCGACTAAGACTCTTTTCGGGAAACTCAAATCCAAATTGTCACGTCCATTTAGAGTAGCACGGGTGTTCACAAATGGTGCAATTGAAATCGAAGGTAAAGAAGACCCTGCCTTTAAGGTGAATGGGCATTGCTTGAAGTTGTATTTTGGAGAATGCCATGAAATTTCTATAATTGAAGTGGTGTATCTGGAAGATACTTGAGAGCATTTCCATGTCTTGCCACGACGTTAAATAAGGTGTGTAACGACCCGAGAGCACCCCCTAGCCGTTACCGGCATATTCGACCTCGAAGAGGTCTTATACAAGCCCTTAGCATTCGTCATACCATGTATCATAGAATAAAATCACGGAAAATTTAAAACTTTTACATTGGAAGTTCAACTTCACTTCACCTATGAAAAACAGAATCTAACTTCGTCACAATGTACCATCTAGAAATAGGAGTATCGAAAATGGGACTTAGCCCTTACATCAATAAGAAGTCTTGAAATAGGAAAGTACAACAATGTCTTTCAACATAAGAAAAGAACTAAACATAGAAGCTAGATCATAGGGTCTTGTCCTCGGACTTGAGGACTCACCAACTTGGGGAAGCAACTCCAAGTGTCTTGAGAAGTAAGCTTGAATCCTCAACGGCCCGAACCTAAATGTTTGGGGAAAAGGAAGAAAATATGGGTTAGTACAACACATGTACTAAGTATGGCTACTATGCATAAAAACAATTGAAACATGCATAAAAGGACATTTAATCAAAACATGCTTTTTACCAAGTAAATCCAATATGCACACAAAGTAAGCATCATAATCCAACCCAACATAATATCATCTCTAGACAACCTAAGGAATACTAGTGCAATGCAAAGAATAGAACCCTATAACCCTATTCAAAGCTAACTATCACATTAAGCAACCCACTTCATGCATACATTCATAAGATCATATTTCATCATAACTTACCATATTCATAATGATCATACATGACATAGTTTCAACATACATAAGTCATAATCATTAAAATCATAAGAGAATACTACTACAATAATCTCTTCGGATCCCACAAGTGCAATGCGCAAGAGAAGTCCCATACCCTCCCTTACACTATGTAGAAACCCTTAAGAAAGCCCTAGTAAGAGTTCACACCTTTCATACCTTCATTTACTTTTACATTAGGGAAATATTGAAATAACCGACATAGACTATGAGAGCTACATGGAATCCGGTGTTCTACTCCTACACCGAAAAAAGAGGGTTAACACTTGCCTAAGGTGTAGCCATTCGTATATAGCTATCTAGGTGGATCCACTAAGCTAAAGTCTTATGTAGGCACATAGTTAAGGGTCAAGGAGATTGCTTCTAGAAACCCTAACTTACTAAACATGTAGGTTTCCATCTCATGAGACAACACATAGCGTAGGTAATCCGGACTTGCTAAACGTGAGGAAACCCATGTGGGGAGCCAGACTTACTAAATGTGAGGCCCCCATCTCATTTACATGCCCTTTCGGTGCTAAGCATCTAATTCCCTTTTGTAATCATCTTTAGTCATCACATAAGTTCACATTAGCCTTTACTGGACTCTTATGTAGACATCTTACCATAATAGCTCATATATGTTCATAAGCGAGTAACAATCCTTTCACTTTAGAAACACTTAGCAAGTGAGTAAACCTTTCACTTTACATTACACTATAATCATGAGAACTACCTTTCAATCATATAGCAATCATACCATAACATACGTATACTTCATAGCTAACTCAAGTGTAGAGGGTTAAGGATGAGGAAACAAAGTCATCAACACCACAACAACACATTTGGT